TCAGTGAGGCTGAGCCTTTTCTTGAACAGTATGCAAAACGCAGTCCACAGAATCAGTCTCTCATTGGATCTGCTGGAAACTTTGTAAGGGCTGAAGATTTCCTGGCCATTGTTGAGGGAGGAAGAGATGAAGAGGGTGATCTTGAGAGGGAGCAGGAGGTTGCACCATCAAGCCCCAGTGCCTCAGGCAGGGACACTATCCCAAAGGCTGAGGGTCTGATTGTATTCTTTCCTGGTAAGAATTGTGTCAAATCAATGGAGTTTTGGAACGTTGGAAAGTTCTCATGAATGCAATAAACAACGTTTGAAAGATATCTCTTTGTATATACTTATACATCATGCAACTTTTTTGTTACTTGGGAAGCATCGCCTTTCATAGTTTTACATTTCGATATTTCTCTTTTTATACTTCTTTGGCAGTGTGCCCTTGTGCATCTGAATATCTCTTGATAGGTATTTGCTTTTATATTTACATATGGGTGTTTATAATTGCTTTGACAGTGAATATGATTGGGTTCTTATATTTTTATTTATCACCTCTTTTGATAATGGTTTATGGGATTCAAAGCATATGTTCTATGCATTTCCTGATGTTTCTTTCTTGGCTTGAAATTTTCAGGACTACCTGGTTCTGCTAAGTCAGCATTATGCAAGGAACTACTTCAAGACCCAGGAAGAATGGGAGATGATCGACCAATTCAAAGCCTGATGGGTGACCTTATCAAAGGTAATTTTGTTTTTGAAGCACCCAGAAAAACAACTCTTGTGAACACTTCAAATCACATTTTTTTGACATTGGAGGTTTCGAGCAGTTTCTTCATCATGCACTCATAATATAGTTATCCTTCATCATCCTTCAACTAGCAGTTTCTATGTAAGAATCTGATCAGGTCATCCCAGCATATCATAGGTATCCTTGACCATGGTGCTGAATTTATGCAAAGGATTTACCTATGCAATATGATTGAGCTTCTTGAGAAGTTCAAAATATCTAGAATTTGAGGACTTCTTCTCATTTATTGTTCATATCTTTATTACCTCCAATGAGAGTATTGTCCCACTTTGGGAAAGTGAAGCCTTGCACGGTCGTTCAAAAGATATTAGTACTCTCCACCCATCGCCAATTGGTTGAAGTTGGAATCAAACTCTATAAACATTGGAAGTTAAAAATACGTAGAATTTAACGGGCTTCTTCTCATTGTACTGTTCATACCTTCATATCAAAACTTCTGTATTCTTCAGAATAGATCCACTGGCATCCTATTGTCAAGATGCTTAATGAATTAGTACGTCAAAAGATTATTGGAGGACTTATTAACAGTAAGATTACTTGTTTATTGTATATAAACAGGAAAATATTGGCAGAAGGTTGCTGAAGAGCGCAAGAAAAAACCATATTCCATAATGCTTGCAGACAAGAATGCACCAAATGAAGAAGTATGGAGACAGGTAATTTTCTTTTGGGGTTCACTTCAAGGATTGTTCTACAATCTGTTCATGAGAATCCAGAAGTAGTGTTCCATGCAGACTGTGTGGAGGTTGATCCGTAGCCCAAGGTCCTAACCAAAACTTGTATTGCTTAGTGCTAGTCACTTTCTGTAGGACTAATAAGCAAAAGTGGATTGCTTTTAATCCCTAAATGGGGTGATGTTCCGGAAACAAACAATAAAACCCAAAAATGGTAACCCAAAGGAACTAAAAAGGACGTCTTGTCCAACAAGATTGATGGCTACTCGATTGAAAGGAATCATGAAAAAGATCTCCAGATATGAATGATTTTTTTTTTTTTGGATAAACTGTTTATTAATTATCAAACCGAAACTGATTTGTGCTTATCATAATTACACTACCATTTTTCTCGTCTCTCTTTTGCAGATTGAACACATGTGCAACAGCACTAGGGCCTCCGCGGTTCCAGTCGTGCCTGATTCTGAAGGTTCTGTTGCTCCTGAGGCTGTTATTTGTTGTGTTCCAGTTCACTTTGTACTGTAGTTAAAGATGAATGGAATGTACTTCAGTAGTTTAGGAAATGATTTTGAGGCCATTGGATATGCTTTTACATTGTGATCTTTTAATTTGCAGGAACCGATTCAAATCCATTTTCTCTTGATGCATTAGCAATTTTCATGTTTCGGGTGCTTCAACGTGCTAATCATCCAGTATGCATTTTATTCTCTCATGTTCTTTTTCTTCATAGATCTGAGACACTTATATTTATTTGCATACTTACATGCTCTCAATTTCTGAAGGGAAACCTTGACAAGGAATCTTTAAATGCTGGCTATGTGCTGCTAATGTTCTATCACCTTTACGAGGGCAAGGCATGAATTATGTACTCTGGTCCATGCTCTATAGATGCACCTAATTTCATTACATTTTTCTGAATTTGTTATTGTCTAAATTTTTCAGAGTCGCCGAGAGTTTGATGGGGAATTAGTTGAGCGTTTTGGCTCACTTGTAAAGATGCCGTTGCTGAAGTCTGATAGGTAGTTTCTGTTTTCCTTGTTTTTTCCGAAAGAAAAGGGCCTGAGACCTCTCGTATTGGTTGTTTTCTGTAATGCTCTCTATTATTTGATAATGATAAATATCAGGGGAAAACTGTTCATAGTAATTCAAATCATGCACCTGGCAAGGCAGGGGTTTTTGCTAGGAGCACTCTTTGCATGCCTTAATTTATGGGTGGGTGGATTGTATTTACTATATAGATTAAGGGGAATTCTCAGTTCATATGAGTAATCTCTAACGAAAAGTATTTAGTGACACACACGCACTCACGCGCACGCGCACGCACACACACACACACACACACACACACATACATACACACACATACATACATACATACATACATATATATACACATACATATATACATACATACATATATATATATACATATATACATACATACATATATACATACATACATATATATATATATATATATGTTTCCTTTTATTTTACTAATGAATTAAAAGATTGTGTTCACTGCCTTATAAGACTGTCTAAAAATTGTGTTATGGATAGAGGAAAAGATAATCCAATTGGTTTGTGTGGTTGATTCCATAACATATGAAAAGCATAGGATGAGGTATATTATTTCTTTGTATGAAGCTTATATCTTTCCTCTCTAGCCATGCAGTTACATTAACTTTATGGGGATTTGCTTGTGTAAAATGTGAAGTCTTTTATTTGTCCCCTCTTGCATTGCAATACACTAATGTCACCGGATTTATTTTGCATACCCAGGAATCCATTACCTGATCCCGTGAAGAATATTCTGGAGGAGGGAATAAATCTATACAAGCTTCACACCGCCAAACATGGAAGGTTAGCTGTTTGGACACTATAACATGAAATTAGATTTGACCACCACGGAGATACTTATTTCATTTTCATTTTCGTTTCCTACTTAATTGGAATTTCGATGAAGCTAAGCTTTTAGCTGTTTGCGTACAGCGTACCATAGTAGCAAGACAATTAGAATTTTCCTAGTCATTGTTTAACCTCTGTTGTGGTCGCTTTCATGTGGGAAAACCTTACCTCCTTGCATGTAAACCTGTACTCAGATTGGAGTCGACCAAGGGAACCTATGCAAAGGAGTGGGCTAAATGGGAGAAACAGTTGCGGGATATTTTATTTGGCAATGCTGAGTATCTGAATTCTGTTCAGGTCGGTATCATTTTTGCGTATTCTTTTTTACCTTCTGAGCCGTTGATTCCACATTTTCCAGTTCTATTATATTAAACGTCTCTGGAATTTACTTGATGAACCATTTACTTTTCAGATCACTAAATAAACTTTTTGTGCAATCTTAATGACCTCAGGTTCCTTTTGAGTCTGCTGTAAAGGAAGTGTCAGAACAGCTGAAAAAGGTCGCAAAAGGTGAGTACAAAACTCCAGATACTGGGAAGAGGAAGTTCGGCGCCATTGTCTTTGCTGCCGTTAGCCTGCCTGTTATGGAAGTCAGTGGTCTGCTTGATAGCGTAAGTTAATGTTCGCTTTCAATTATTTTTCCTAGTCTGATCACTTATTCAGTGAGATTATGATGACATATCTGTCTCGTGTTTCCTTTCTTTTTTTCTTTTCGTGCAGTTGGCTGTGAAACATAGTGAAGCCGAAGCTTTCCTCAAAGACAAGCATTTGGATAAACTTAACAAGGCTCATGTTACTCTTGCACACAAGAGAAGTCATGGTGTTACTGCCGTGGCTAGTTACGGAACCTTCCTTCACAAAACGGTCCCTGTGGATATAACTAAGCTTTTCTTCTCGGATAAAATGGCTGCATTTGGAGCCAGCCTTGGGTCTGTCGAAGGTGAAAGAGTAGTGTCTAAAAATGAGTGGCCGCATGTCACCTTATGGACTGCAGAAGGGGTTCCGGCCAAGGACGCCAACAACTTACCCCAATTGCATTCGGAGGGGAAAGCTACCTGCATTGCAATTGACCCACCTGCCACCATTGATGGCACGCTGGAATTTTTCTGAGGTTTGATCGGCCAGGCCAGATTGAGCTCGGCATACGATTGGAGTGAAATTTCATTTGACGATGCGGGTGTTCAATGAAGAGAGAACTTAACTGCTTAAGTGAAGGAGAAAATTTTGTAAGCCATGAGGAAAAGGAAATTTTGTTGAGTTGATTTCTTTTCAGAGGTTTTGTATACATAAGGCAATTAAAATTTTAAAGTCTCAGCGTTGCTTCATCAGCTTTTACCAATTGAGGGGTGTTTAGCCGCGGTCGCATCGCTCGTATCTGTTTACACGATTCGGTATGATTGCGCAGCTGCAACTCCCCCAAGTTTTATGACACTTGAAATGTTGACACTGCATTTTTTTACATTCTTCCCCTCAGTGGCGCTTCGGCTACTGTAGTAACTGTAATTATAATCAAACTCTTGGGAACTATCTAAGCAAAGTAAAATACAGGAAACAATTTCGATGTTTATTTACGCCCCTTGATTCTTCTTCGACTTATTCAAAAACCGAAGGGTGTGCGAAAACTGCTTTCGTAAAATTTGATTTTTACTCAAAGAAAAGCAACTGCGATGGCGCATTATCCTAAACCAAACAAACAAACAAATGGAAGGCTTCATCCTAATTCAATTGATTTACAGCATGCTGAGTGTCTAATTTCATAGCAAGTCTGTGTTGTAGACCTGAACCGACTTTCCGACTTTCCGTCATTCCAAAGTACTCGTTTGTTCTGCAACCAGTGTAGGCAAGATGGCCATAGCCTCACCATCGATGACGGTAGCACCATTCTTGAAGCATGCCGTCTTGAATTTCACTCTGAACCAAACATTCAAAAACCAGTCAAGTCGGTCTCTGTTTAAGTTATACGAACTGTAGAAGAAGTGCTTTGGCAAAGAATGAGGTGGCTTACAGATATCTGTTCTTCTGTTCTCTTATGTTAGTTGCTTGTACCTCACCAACTATCTCTTCTCCAATATAGACAGGCAACCTGAAATGCAAGCTTTGGGAAACATATATAGCGCCGGGCTGGAAACACCACAACAAAATCAAGGAATTAGAACTTCGGTTCTCAACAAATGCAGCCGAAAAAGAAAATTTTCAGCAATAAATGTAGGAAATGTTCCATGCCGAAGAGCCAACGACAGGAATTTTTAGGAACCATGTGATCACTGTATATTACAAATGAACCAAATCGACAAGTCATGAGAAGGGAGGATAAAATTATGGAGCATCATACTTACAAAATGAGAAGATATGATCTTGGGGAACAGGGCAGCAACAAGCATCCCGTGAACCAGTCGATCTTCAAATCCAGCATTTTGAGCAGCCTCGGAATCTAAATGCAGAGGGTTAGAGTCATGACTCACTTTTGAGTACTCCAAAACATCTTCATTGGTGAATACTCTATTTTGCTTCAATGTATCTCCACTTCTAAGAAAACCAGCTGCTGCTGATGAAAAACCTCTTAAAGAAAGTAGGTTGACTGAGAGTAAGTTCCGGCCAAGCATAACTGTAACCGTTTCTAAACGCTGTCCGACAGTGTATCAACCCGATGAAACTACGTTGATTTTACGCCTTACCAGAATAGCATTGTCCTCTCCATAGAAAATACAGGTTTGAATGTCTTCTAATCTACTTGCAGTGTATGCTCACCACCTGCACCATCAATCTGCAATTCACACAATGTTTCAGGATCATGGGCAATTTTTTTTTTGCATAAATTGCTAGGCTCTTGGGAGCAGTCTCCTCATAAATGGGGGTAAGGCTAGCCGACATTCACCTCTCCCAGACCATGCGTAAAGCGGGAGCCTTGTGCACTGAGTACGATAAATTGCTAGGCTGAAGTGAAAGCCTTCATTTTTTGCGCACATTATTCCCAAGTTGCTTGTACGAGGCATTGTAACAAACACTTGGTGGGCATAAATTTCAACAAAACAAAGGTACACACAGTGATCAAATTGTTCGTTAGGATCCACCCGCGAGATTCCAATTCGACACAGATATGATTTATGCTAGTCCAAAACTAAATTGTTGCAAAAATAAAATCTCCATGCAGAATATTACCTGATATTGGCTGCAATAATAATAATGCATCGCTGCGGTCTTTGTTTTGTTTTTTTGGAGTACAGAGAGGGAGAGAATTAAAGTAAACGTAACCAGCAAATGGGCTACTTGTATTTATTTTTTTATTTGTTTTTTATTTTTTATTTTTTTAGTTGTCATTACCAACAAAGCAAACGTATACAAAGAGAGGCCTAATTACAATTAAACATAGAACTGAAACATGGACCCCAAAACAAAAAGGCCCAACCCAAAGTTTCAGCGCGTAAAAACAGGAGGCCCAAAAACCCCTTGGAAATCGGTTGACACTGTGAGATTCATGTGTTGCATCTTAGAGTTGTTGATAGCCGTTATAACTGGCACGTAGGAAGGCGTCTACGGCTTTAGGATAGTGACAACATGCATCTATTAATATCACAGGCCAAATCATTTTTTATCTTTTCCTTTTACTGCTTTATTTATTGATATATGTGTTTAATGCATTTGGGTATTGTCCAATTGATTGAATTTACATGCGTATTATGATCATAATCATTTATATTTTCCAACAACTAAAACCGTAAATTGTATCTCTACTGTCGTGGAAAACCCTATGAATTTGTATGTGTTGTTATTTTGGTTGTGTGATCAATTATCGCAATTTATTAATTTCGTAATTTAACAAAAATGTGTTTGCATGTATATGCATCGATTATCTATAATATGTATCTCTATGGTGTTTCGTGATTGAGTTAGGCGGGTGATGATTAAAACATATTTTGCCTACATTGCTTGATTATCTCATATTATTGAGATGGTGATAAAACTCAAATGTATCTGAGTCTTATGAGGTCGTCCTTCCTCTTACTGGGAAAAACAAGCTTTATTTTTTATGTTTTCGTTACCTAGGATCTATCTTGCAAAAGAACGGAGAATTAGATGGAGATCTCAACCATAGAATACAAGCTGGATGGATGAAGTGGAAGAGTGCATCCGGCGTGTTGTGTGACCACCGTATGCCACTGAAGCTCAAGGGAAAATTTTATAGGACGGCAATAAGGCCGGCGATGCTGTATGGCACAGAATGTTGGGCGGTGAAACATCAACACGTACACAAAATGGGTGTAGCGGAGATGCGGATGCTTCGTTGGATGTGTGGGCACACGAGAAAGGATAAGATTAGGAATGAGGATATCCGGGGTAAAGTAGGAGTAGCCGAAATTGAAGGAAAGATGAGAGAAAATCGGTTACGGTGGTTTGGACATGTGCAAAGAAGGCCTACTGACGTTCCGATTAGAAGATGCGACTATGGGACAGAGGTTCAGGGCCGAAGGGGTAGAGGAAGACCTAGGAAAACTTTGGAAGAGACTCTAAGAAAAGACTTAGAGTACTTGGATCTAACGAAGGACATGACACAGGATCGAGCACAATGGCGTTCTAAGATTCATATAGCCGATCCCACTCAGTGACTTGGATTTTCCAAGTCTCCAACCGAGAAGTTTTCCTCACTCGGGAAATTAAGGGAACACTACCCCAACCTACATGCTCCAATCAGAAAGCTTCAACATACAAGCTTTAACAAAAGAAAATTCAAAGAACTTAGCGAAGAAGGCTTTGGTGTATTTAACACAATACGTTGAAATGAAGGAAAGCTTATTTATTGATATCCCCGATAAGCTACAAATATGTACATATACATGAGTCAAAATAAGCACACAAGAGGGAGCCTTCACAAAGGTTGCTTAGGAGAAGTCTCAGCAGTCGGTAGAGCCCCAGAAAGAGAAGGCACCGGAGGGGGATCATTTGGAGCCTCAGTACTGGACAGAACCCTAGAAGGAGGAGGCATCAGAGGTTGATCATTTGGAGCTTCATTACGCGGTACAGCCCCAGAAGACGAAGGCAATAAATGCCTTTGGAACAAACCCACAAATCTCTGATGATCAAGTAAAACCTGACCATCAGTTTCCTTCATCTGGTCAAGCTTCCTCTTCATGTTTTGTAGCATAGTCATGTGCGAGCCGGTGCAACTGTTTATTCTCATGCTTGAGCCCTCTAATCTCCTGTTTGAGACTCATCACTTCAGCCGCCAATGATTCAACTTGGCGGGTTCGAGCAAATAGGCGTTGGGCCATATTAGACACAGAACCTGCACACTGAACACTGAGAGCCAGCGAATCCTTAACAGCTAACTCATCAGACCGTTTGGAAAGTAGTCTGTTATCTTTGGGAGTGAGTGAGAAGGTTCCTGGCCACCACCGCAGCGGTCATATCATTCTTCATCACGGAATCCCCAACGGTAAGAGGACCAGTAGGGGAGACGAAGGATGGGCGCCATATGTTGTCTGGAGAAGGCGGGGCTGCCTCTTCAACAAGGTTCAAGTCAAAACGACGGTCGGAGGGGCCAGACATTTTCAAAGGTGTTGAAGAGAGAAGAGGTCGGACAAATCAAGATCTTAGAAGTGCAAGAATGAAGCTTCTACTGGTGGAGATTCAAGTGTGCTTTGGAACTTAATGCCAGCCCCTATAAAAATCTGCACTCGACGAAGCTTCAGAAATCGAAGAGGCGCCTGCTCAGAAATCGAAGAGGCGTTTGCTTTCTCAAAAGCTGGGCTGCTTAGAGATCACGAGGGTTGATCTCAGAAAAATCGAAGAGGCGTTTGCTTTCTCTCAAAAGTTGGGCTGCTCAAAGACCACGAAGGCCGATCTCAAAAATCGAAGAGGCGCTCGCTTTCTCAAAAGCTGGGCTCCCCAGAGACCACGAGGGCCGATCTCAGAAATCGAAGAGGCACCTACTTTTCCAGCCTTTTCCAGCCTTGTCAGCACCTGTCACACGCACACTCAGTTTTGCGGAAATTATGGGCATTCTGTCAAAGACTTCTGGGGAAGTAGAAAAACACATGAATCTTACTGTTCAATCACCCACTTCCCACACGCAACAATAGCTCATGGGTACCACAGATAACTTTGCCAAAGTTCTCTGCCAAAGTTGAGCACGTGAAGCTTGCAGCTCCCACTACATCGCTCTGACCAAGAAGGGTAAAAGAATAGCAAAGAAACAGCACTAACAAAGTTTAGACCCATAAATTTTGAAGGTCTAGCTACCATATTATTACCCACAAGGGTAAAGGAACAGTACCACTGCTGGATAATTGGAAAGTCCCTGTGTGTCAACCTCTGTGCTTCGTGGCAAGGTAGACTAGCAAACATGCCCAACCTTTACTCACATTCGAGAAAAACACTCCCAATAAGATTGCTTGCTCCAAAATCGAAGAGGGCACCGTCCTCCGAATCTCGAGAGCCAGACTCCCAACATGACTACTTTCTTAAAAATCGAAGAGAGGGTAAAGGAACAGTACCATTGCTGGATAATTGGAAAGTCCCTGTGTGTCAACCTCTGTGCTTCGTGGCAAGGTAGACTAGCAAACATGCCCAACCTTTACTCACATTCGAGAAAACACTCCCAACAAGATTGCTTGCTCCAAAATCGAAGAGGCACCGCCCTCCGAATCTCGAGAGCCAGACTCCCAACATGATTACTTTCTCAAAAATCGAAGAGACACTGCTCCCCGAATCTCGAGAGCCAGACCCCCAGCATGATTGCTTTCTCAAAAATCGATGAGGCATCGTTCTCCGAATCAATCGAAGAGGCGCTCGCTTTCTCAAAAGCTGGGCTGCTCAGAGACCACGAGGGCCGATCTCAGAAATCGAAGAGGCACCTACTTTTCTAGCCTTGTCAGCACCTGTCACACGCACACTCAGCTTTGCAGAAATTATGGGCATTCTGTCGAAGACTTCTGGTGAAGTAGAAAGCACATGAATCTTACTGTTCAATCACCCACTTCCCACACGCAACAATAGCTCATGGGTACCACAAATAACTTTGCCAAAGTTCTCTGCCAAAGTTGAGCACGTGAAGCTTGCAGCTCCCACTACATCGCTCTGACCAAGAAAGGTAAAAGAATAGCAAAGAAACAGCACTAACAAAAGTTTAGACACATAAATTTTGAAGGTCTAGCTACCATATTATTACCCACAACTGTAAAGGAACAGTACCACTGCTGGATAATTGGAAAGTCCCTGTGTGTCAACCTCTGTGCTTCGTGGCAAGGTAGACTAGCAAACATGCCCAACCTTTACTCACATTCGAGAAAACACACTCCCAATAAGATTGCTTGCTCCAAAATCGAAGAGGCACCGTCCTCCGAATCTCGAGAGCCAGACTCCCAACATGACTACTTTCTCAAAATCGAAGAGAGGGTAAAGGAACAGTACCATTGCTGGATAATTGGAAAGTCCCTGTGTGTCAACCTTTGTGCTTCGTGGCAAGGTAGACTAGCAAACATGCCCAACCTTTACTCACATTCGAGACAAACACTCCCAACAAGATTGCTTGCTCCAAAATCGAAGAGGCACCGCCCTCCGAATCTCGAGAGCCAGACTCCCAACATGATTACTTCCTCAAAAATCGAAGAGACACTGCTCTCCGAATCTCGAGAGTCATACCCCCAGCATGATTGCTTTCTCAAAAATCGAAGAGGCATCGTTCTCCGAATCTCGAGAGCCAGATACCACAGACCACTTTTTCAAAGTGCTCTGACAGAGTTAAAACATGTGAAACTGGCAGCTCCCACTACCGTGCTATGACCAAGCAGGGTAAAGGAATAGCATTACTACTTGTTGTTAGGGAGACTCCTATATATGTCGACCTCCATCCCCAACGGACAGGCAGACCTGCAAAAATGCTCAACCCTTCATCATATCTGAGAGGGCACTCCCAACGAAGCCTTTCGAAATATTCAGCTTTCTTTCCCCCCGATAATACCTCTGCAAACAAGCTATACTAGAGCAAGAATATCTCATATCATCAGGGTTAAAAGCAAGAGTATCCCATATCATGCTTTTTCCCTGTCTTTTCCTTTTGGCCTTGTTTTTACCTGCAAGACAAGGAGAAAGAGAGCAATCAGTCAGCACTTGGAATCAAGCTTCCAGCCAGGAACTGACTGCCTGGAACCCCTTACCTGATTACTTACCTGGCATTGCTCTCGAGTACTCATCTTCAACATCTTATGTTTCCAGGGAAGATTCCGCATCTGCTTGAGGAACAGATAGGGCAAGTGCGAAGGATACAAGGAAGCATGTGGAGACAAGCGTAACAGCACACGTGCCGATACATTCATT